TCCCATCCCTTTACTTTCTTCATGGATAATTCTTTATATTTTAGATATTTTATATACAACATAGTAGATTTCATTTATTTATTTAGCCTGATAGTCCTTTTCTTTAACTGGAATATTTAGTCCATTTATATTTATTATTAAAAACTTACATAGTTTTATTTCTATAATCTTATGTTCCTATTTCTCACATTTCTTTCCTACTTTTAGATTAATTGTAGTTTTTGTTTATCTAAATTGTTTTTATTTTTCCTTCTGTGAAAATGTTTTCACTGGGTATACAATTCTAACTTGACAGTTGTTTTTCCTATCTGCACATTGAAGTGTACACTGCCTTCTCTTGCTGTTGAACAGGTGGAAGTAAAATCATCATTCTTTTGAAAGTATATCTTCTCTATGATGGCTTTTAGATCTCTTTGTTGTCAGTCTTCTATAGTTTCAGGGAGATTAAATTTTAGTTATCCTGCTTGAGATGCCTTGGAATTCCTAATCTAACAAGTAAAATCTTTTATAAGTTCTGGGAAATTGTTGACCAGCATTTTAAAAATTATTGTTTCTCTCCCATTTTCGCTCTCCTCTTCTTTTTTCTTTTTCTTTCTTTTTTTTTTTGTGATGACAGAGTCTTACTCTGTTGCCTAGGTTGGAGTGCAGTGACATGATCATGGCTTGCTGTAACTTTGAACTCCTAAGTTCAAACAATCCTCTCTCCTCAGCTTCCTGAATAGGTGGAACCACAGTACTACATCTGGCTATTTACTTGTATACCCAGTGACAACATTTTCAAAAAATTTTTGTAAAAGAAACAGGGTCTTGCTATGTTGCTCAGGCTGGTCTCAAACTCCTGGCCTCAAGTGTTCCTCTATCTTGGACTCCCAAAGCCCTGGGATTACAGAATGAGCTACAATGGCTGTCTCTCCTCTCTTTAGGAACTCAGATTAGATATCTACAAACAATTTGTATACCTGACCCTGAATTGTACCACATATTGAAAAAAAAAGTTATCTATGAGACCTTCTCACTGTATCCTCCCTGTGTTTTTTATCTTTCTTTCCTATTTTTAGCTTGTTGTCCATTCCATTTTTAATTTACAGTAGTATATTTTTTCTTCCCTGGAAGTTCATCAAGTTTATTCTCAATTCTCCATGCTCCTTTTGTGTATTTTCAATGTCTTTTATTACCCTTAATGTATTAAATATAGTTATATTTTGTACTCAATAATTCTAGTGTCAGAATTCTTTGCAGGTCCGATTCTGTCTGTCTACATCCCTATCTCCTCCCCACCTACATACCTTGCTGGCCCTTGTTCAAAGTAACTTGATTCCTTATGTGTTTTGTGATTTATCTTATTTTATTGTTTTATTTTATTTTTTAGGTGGGTGCTCACTCTGTCACCCAGGCTGGAGTGCAGTGGCATGATCACAGCTCACTGCGGCCTCAACCTTCTGGGCACTGGTGAGCCTTACTCCTCAGCCTCCTGGGTAGCTGGAATTACATGCTCATGCCACCACACCTGGTTAATTTTTTGATTTTTTTGTAGAGACATGGTATTGCTATGTTGCCCAGACTGGTCTTGAACTTCTTGGCTCAAGCAATCCTCCTGCCTCTGCCACCGAGAGTGCTGGGATTACAGGTTTGAGCTACCATGCTTGGCCTGTTTTGTGACTGATTGATTAATTGATTGATTTGAGTTGGTGTCTCACTCCGTCGCCCAGGCTGGAGTACAGTGGCACACTCAGGGCCACCCCAACGTCAACCTGCTGGGCTCTGGCGATCCTTCTGCCTTAGCCTTCCAAGTAGCCAGAACTACAGGCACACGCTACCACGCCCAGCTAATTTTTGATTTATTGTAGAGACTAGGTCTCGCCAAGTTGTCCAGGATGGTCTCAAATCCATGGGCTCAGGCGGTCCACTTGCCTTGATTTCCCAAAGTTCTGGGATTACAGGCTGAGCCACCGAGCCCGGCCTGTGATTTATTTTTTAATGACTTATTTATTTTTTTAGCATGTGCGTATGACTCAGGGATATTCTGTCAGAGAAGGCTGATTTCAAGGTATTTTTTTTTCCAGAAAGTATTAGGATTTGCTTTTCCCAGGTACCTGAGGCCACTACTAACCTGGAAATACTTCCACTAAAGTCTCAGGCTGGAGGTTTTTTCAGACCACACAAGTAGTTTTAACTGCATATCCCTATGTGGGACAATTTGTGGTTACTAATTCTTTGGAGATACATTTTTTCCCCTCTATCCTTCACCCAAGCCTAAGGCAGGCAGTTTTCTTTACTGTCTCCTGCTAGAGGGTGAAATTTTTAAGTTACCCTTTAAACCTTTGGGATTTCTCACTTCATGCAGCAGGTCTTCTGTTAGGTTTCCTATCCTGGGTTGGCCCTGGCTTCTTTCTCCTTTGCCTTCTTCACAAGAGGTTTAAGAAACTCAAGAGTCTGGTTTGTTCAGAATCTTAGAGTATAAAAATCAGGTTGTGTGCTCTGCCTACCGTTTCTGGATCCTACTTTCACTTGACTCCGGTAATTCTGTGCTTTCTTACTCGCCCTGTGGTGTATTTTAAATAATGTTAGTAAATTTTGCTTAACGTTTTAAAATATTTCCACGGTAGTTCAGTCTAAACCACTATACTCTAGGAGATGGCAGTCCTAGAATAAACTTTTACAAATTCGGTTTCACTTCTTATTTTTGGTTGTTTTTTTAATTTTATTTTTCTTTTTTTTTTTTGTTTTAATTTGTTCTATCTTTGTGTATGGACCAGTTCAAATCTAACAGCCTCTATTTAATGTTTACTGTGTTTAATATAAACTGTCATTTGTGTGCTTTTATTGACATAAGCCACAAATATTTGTTGAGTGCCTACCTTATGCCAAACACTATTCTAGAAATAGAGGTACAAAAATGAACAAAATAGACCCAAACCCTTGCCCCCCAACAAGGAGTTTGACTTCTAGCAGGGAAGACATGTAGTACATTAGACAGTGGCGATGCTAAGGAGAAACAAAGCAGAGAAGGGAGCCTTGCAACTTTGGAGAAAATAGCTCAGGAATATATTGCAGGGAGGGCGACATCTTTAAAGGAAAGTAGGTATGAGCTATGGGCATGCCAGAAAAAACTACATGTTTTATAAATGTCTAGGAGAATAAGGATTGAACATTTTCTTTAATTTTACATTTGTGCTGTGTCACGGTATTGATCTTTTTTTCTCTCTTAAATCTCACTTTTCTCTTTCTTGACCCAACTCTGTAGTTTTGGTTCTCTAGCAAGGAGAACTGACCATATCATCTTGGGCAAGTTCCTTAACTTCTCTGTTTCTCCTGGGTAAAGCAGGATTATTGGCCATGTCTCAGGATTGATGGATGAAACGAGATGACATTTGTAACAGTGCCTGACATTGGATGGGTACTCAATGAATGGTAGTTTCTTTTGCTTTTTTCCTTTCTTCCTTGTCCATACTCTTTTCAGCACTTGATAAATTTGCAGTAGTGTGATTTTTATGCACCTGGAGACAGCATGTGGTAGGCATTAACTAAAGACAAATTAGAATTTAAAAGTTTGATTTTTAAAAATATTTTCTAAAGAGGTTTTGAAAGGCTGATTTTATGGTCAAGGATAAGGACACAAAGCCAAGCTTCGTGCATTTCCCCCTGAGAGGTATTTTTCATGGTATTACACACAGGTTAGCAATTAAATCTCATTTTTACATGTGAAAATCTGCAGAATCTCCAGTTAGATTCCAACTCAAAGCAAGAAGAGGCATGTCACATATAAGTACACATCTAGTTGTATAGCTACTCTTACCCCTTAACCCAAACTAGCTCTACTTTTGCAGTGCTAATTGGTGAGTTTTCTTTTTTCTTTAGAGTTGGAGTCTCACTCTGTTGCCCAGGCTGGAGTGTAGTGGCATGCTCACAACCACCCCAGCGTCAATCTGCTGGGCTCTGGCGATCCTTCCGCCTTAGCCTTCCAAGTAGCCAGAACTACAGGTGTACGCTACCATGCCCAGCTAATTTTTTATTTTTATTGTAGAGACGAGATCTCACCAAGTTGCCCAGGCTGGTCTTGAACCCGCAGGATCAGGCAATCCATTCTCCTTGGCCTCCCAAAGTGCTGGAATTACAGGCTGAGCCACCGAGCCCAGTCAAGTTTTCTTGAGATTACTGCCACTAAAAACAGAGGAAACGTTAGGATAAGGGTGAAACTACAAGACTCATGTAGTTTGGGTTTGAATGAAACTGGAATCTAAATTTAGAACTAACATTAGACCCTAAAGTAACTCATATTCCTTTAATGAGATTTTCTCTGATTCAAGAGTCTTGAGACCTTAATTTTCATACTTTAAAAAAATTTTGCCGGGCTCAGTGGCTCAGCCTGTAATCCCATGCTTTGGGAGGCTGAGGTGAGTGGATTGCCTGAGCCCACATGTTTGAGACCCGCCTGGGCAACTTGGCGAGACCTCATCTCTAAAATAAATCAAAAAATCAGCTGGGCGTGGTAGCTCATGCCTGTAATTCCAGCTACTCGGAAGGCTCAGGCGGAAGGATCGCCGGAGCCCAGCAGGCCGAGGCTGCGGTGACCAGGAGCAGCCACTGTACTCCAGTCTGGGCGACAGAGTGAGACTCCAACTCAAAAAAAATTTTTTTTAATTAATTAATTATTTTTTAGAGACAGAATTTCACTGTCGCCCAGGCTGGACTGCAGTGACGTGATCATGGATCACTGTAGTCTCGAACCCCTGGGCTCAAGCCTCCCAAGTAGTTGGAACTACAGGTGCTCACTACCATGCCTGGCTTCATACTGGTTCTGATACTGACTTCCGATGGGGTCTCAGTCATTCAGTTTTTCCCCATCTGTATCATGAGTGATGTTTCCTATACTGGATTTCCTTTCTTTGAATGGCTGTTGAGATTTCATAGAATGTGAATGACATCAAAGACAAGTACTGATGATAAACAAACTACAACTATTGACATTATACGCTTTTGGTTTTTGGTCTTGTCCTCAGCCCTCCCATTGACCATTCCCTGCTGGACATGCCCTTCCTTTGACTCCCTGGGGAGGTGCCCTCTGACCTCCGAGAGCAGCTGGACTACCCATTCTGAAGATACCAGCAGTCCTAGTTTTGGCCGTTCATACACAGACCTGCAGCTCATCAATGCTGAGGAACAGATGAGTGGCCGGGCTTCCGGGGCTGACTCGACTGGTAAGATGGAACTCCAAGCCAGAGGGCTTTGCATATCACTTTTGTGTTCCCAGGTCTTCGTGGGGTCCTCTTAAGATCCCTCTAGTTAAAAAAAACCAAAAAGATCCCTCCAGCCAGCTTTGTTTGCAGAATGCATTTAGGTGTTTTCATCCTGTCCAGAGCTAGACTCCAAAGTGGTTTGAAATTGCTTTGGGAAAAATATGTAAACAGATTGGCTGATTGTCTGGCAGATTATTCATATTGGGAAACCATTTGACAGTGTCTCTGAGTATGTTATTTTCTGACAGTTTGGAACAAATACCATTCCCTGTCAATTTATTTCTCCTAGGATTACTGAACTATGTGTAATATGCACAAGACTGAATCTTTCCTCCTAACACCCACGCATCTTCCCTCTTCAGCGAGAGGGAGTAGATTTAACTAGAGAAGAAGTGAATGTTATGTGAAGCAGAATGAGAATCAGAACTCAGCCACTATGTCCAGGCTGCAAATCATTTTGCAGTTAAGTGTTTATTCTGTTGTGCCTTCATTGAGCAACGCATCAGTTGGTAATGTCCCATGGCTCATTGATTAAACTTCCCAGTAGGTGTCAGAGGAAATGCTGGCTTTCATTCAGGCGGAATATGAGTCTGTCGACAAGTACTGTGTGATGGGCAAGTTTGGGATGGTATTGGAAAGATATTGTATGTCTTGGTGTTTTGTTTATTTGGCCCAATAGATTGACTTCTTCTGACAGTGATAAAGTTACTGTTAGTCTCTCTGTGGATGAAATTACCCAGTGTGTTGACAACATTTATTTTTCCTTCTCAATGTTGTTTAGGGGTTTCTAGATCATTTTTCAAATTTGGATAATGCTCGCCCTCATGCTGTGTGTTGCTGCATTCTGTGTATATAAGAAGGGATCCCTCTTGTAGACTTAAGGGTTCAGACAAGATTTGGTTTGGTATTTGATAATATTGCAGAAAATCTTAGTTTATCAGGGTCTGTATCTTCACAAGCCACAAACATTTTGTTTTCATAAACACTCCTTCAATTCTAGTTCATCCCTGTGGCCAGTGGTCCTGGTTGGGGCTGAAATATACCTCAAGACCCTGTTTCCACTGTGGGAAACATCTCATGGTAGGAAGGCACCTTCAGCAGTTGAGAGCATTAGGAAGAGAGGCTGAACTTGAACTTACCTTTCCGCCTCACATCTCTTGCTCTCTGCCTCCTTGTCAAGCCTTCTTGGGAGGATGCATATGGATTGATTCAGAGTATCCAGATCTGGCATCAGACTTCTCAGTTTCAGATCCTGGTTCTGCCATTTACCAGCTGTGTGACCTTAAATAAGATCCTCACAGTCTTTATAACTCTGTTTCCTCTTCTGAAAAACGGGAATAATAGTAGCAGGCACCTCACCAAGTAGTCATCAGCTCCAAGTGAGACAATTTATATAGAACAACTTACACAATGCCCATCATAGAGTAAGTGATCATTAGGGGTGAAATGTCTTCCCTTTCCTGCTGCTGCTTTCTTGTTGCTTCAGAGATGTGTAAAATGGGCCCCACACTGATAGAAAAGTCAGGGTCTCTAGGCTCGGAGGTGGCCCCTCTACTTTCTTATTAGATAAAGTTGCTTTAATTCTTGGAGGTTCGAGTGATGAAAGAATCCCAGCCTGAAGTGAACATGATTAATCTGCCTCCAAAGTTTTAAATTATTTTTAGCATCTCCCTGTTCTAAAGTCACTCTGGCAGTGTTGTGTTTGCATGAAGAACACCTCCTCCCCTGCTGTTTTGGTCAGTGTCCTGGCAAGAAGCTGGTGCCCTAAAAAAGGGTTTATCCAGAGAGACTTTTATGAAGGGACTGCTGACCAAGGAAGCAAGAGCTGGAATTCTAGAAGAGGGGCTGCCCGACAGGTTCTATGGATATAGGAAGGACAGTGTTACTGCAGAGATTTGACCAAACCGGGAGATAGGGAGGAATGCTTACCCCGATCCTGTGCTGGCTGGTGTTTCCCACAGCAGATACCAGTTAGAAACCAAAGGGTGTGAAGCCCTGGTGAGGCAGTCTGTGGGGTCAGCTGCTAGAGCAGGCAGAGAGTGGATTTGGGGTATGATGGTGGATCAGTCCATTTGCACTGTTATAAAGGAAGGCCTGAGCCAGGGCGTAAAGTATAAAGAGATATTGATTTGGCTCATGGAAAATCCTCACTTCTTCCTCACTCCTGCAGACCATAATGAAGCATAGTGCCAGCATCACATATGCTTTTGGTGAGGCCTCAGGAAGTTTTCAGTCATGGCAGAAAGAAAACGGGGAGCAGGCGTATCACATGACAAGAGAGAAGCAGGAGAGGGACAGGGGGGTATCAGGCTCTTTTAAACAACCAGTTCTGTGCAAACTAACAGAGCAAGAACTCACTCATTACCATGAGAACAGAACCAAGCCATTCATGAGGGATCACCCCCATGACCTAATCACCTCCCACCAGGCCCTACCTCCAGTATTGGTGATCACATTTAACATGAGATTTGGAGGGGACAACCATCCAAACTGTATCAGAAGGGGAAGAATGAATGGAAAATAACCAACACACTTTGGTGCCCACCAGGAACTAAATGGCCTCTTGGCCAGGGTTGCTCCAGAGACTCAAATGCAAAACCAGGACTAGAGAACGACAAGGGATGCTCTTCTCTCCCTTAACAGGAGGCAGTTTCCATGGCTACAGGGAGGGTAGCGCTATGACCTTCTGGCAATCATCCTTTTTGCAGTCTCATAATCATAGCCAGCACTTACAGCCTGTGTGCTGTGAGCTGGGAGATGAGGTGTATTATCCCTGGACTTTAAAACAGTCCTGTAAGACAGGTGTTAGTCTCCCATTTCCTAGAAGACACACTGTCTGGGTAAGGTTAAGCAACTAGTTAGCACCACTGCGAAACGGGTGACCTGGATTTCAGTCAAAATTCCAAAGCCTTTTCTAGTAGTTTCCCAAACCTGGTGGTACCCAGGGTCACTATGGTTATCAGTTTGCTGTTAGTTCTAAAACTTCCATACAGATCTGTATAGAACATACATACAAATTATATATATACAAATTGCCTTGGGGGTTATTTTTAACATAAGTAGGACCAGGGGATTTAAAATAAGGCATGGCTTGAGGATAAAGCTCACCTTTCCTTAACAGGTATGCATGCTTACAGATAACTGCTATGTGCACACAGTATCATGTTCTGTAAACAAGTCTCTGGTCACTCCATTGAAATCTCTCTAGTCTTCAGTAATTGGTCAAGAACCCAGGTGGGCTAGGGGCTAGGGAATGCCTCCATATGCTCATGATGGGACAGTCTTCCTTAACATCTCACCTTCATCTGCCCCTCCAGGCCCAAAGGTGACAAGCAGAGTGTGTGCCTCCAGGGCCCTGGGAAATGAGAGACAGTGAGGTGAGTCCTGGGAGAGCACCTCTGCAGGCCATGGGGACAGTGTCTGGATGCAGCCTGAGCTGTGGGAGCCCCAAGGTGCACTTCCTGGATGTCCTGACCTGTGCCATCAGGGGAGAGTTCTGCTTCTGAAAAGTCTTTGACTCATCCTGGGTCCCAGGATACAAGAAGGAGAAGGAAAAACAAATGAGAATACACACACACACATACACACACACACACACATACTTTAGTTGGAGTTTCACTCTCACCAGGCTGAAGTGCAGTGACATACTCATGGCCACACCAGCAACAACCTGCTGGACTCTGGCGATTCTTCCGCCTCAGACTTCCAAATAGCTGGAACTATAGGTGTGCTATTACGCCCAGCTAATACAAATATTTTTAAGCCTGAGGCATTTATTCATTTACTACAGTAGTAGGGATTTTAAAATGTTTTCTGTTGAGCTGTTGAGAGTTTCAAGGAAATCTGTAGACACTGAAAAGCCCCCCAGCCAGGATACACCCTGTCCTTGCCTGGCACCAAGCCTATGGCAATACCAGCCTCTGGGAAGGCCCTACTCCGAGGCTGGATGGTTCCAGCAGGGTAAACTGAATTCTTCTGGGGCTATTGGACAGATTCCCCTCTGTCTGTCTTCCAGGAGAGTCATCTCACCATAGCTTCCCTTTCTTATCTGTGAAATGAGGCTGAGTCCCTGCCCAGGCAAGATGACAGGGTCTACGTGAAGGCATTTTGTACAATGTGAAGTGCTGTAGGCATTTTTAAAAAAATCCCAATGTCTCTGCCTCATTACTGTTTGATATAGGACATAAGGATAATTGCTGTCTACTCCTTTATTACCCCAGAGAGAACTGTTACCCCAAACTACATGCATGTAGGGTGAGATCCAATAAGGCCTTTGCGTTTCTCAGCAGCAAGTGATGGGCAGATACAGCGACACTGTGGGGAGTGCAGTGTGATTGGCTTCTGTGCAGAGGGCTTGGGGACCCTTGAGAGGAGCTGCCTTGGGGAAACTTCTGTTATTGGCTCCCACCCCAGGCCCTTTAGCGTCATGGAGGGAGGTAGAGGGTAAAGAGCCCCAGGGAACTTCAGCCTCACTGGGTCTGGTGTGCCTTCAGCCCAGCCTGGCTCTCCCTGGCAGCACCACATGCAGGTAAGGGCTGGGTTGGTGCTCTGTAACCCATCTCTTGTGTGGAGAGGGCTCATGATGCCCCAGGCCCAGCCTGGTCACCTTGGTCTGGTTGCTTGGTCATGGGCTGCAGGGACTGGGCTGCAGCCTCCTCCCTGTCACCGTTGGCTTGAGCTCTGTGGGGATTTGGCAGCCCCACAGGGCAGTTGACTCCCAACATAATTGCGGAGGGAAAGTCTCTATGAACAGCCCACACTTTCTTCCATTTTCTCACCAAGGAGCTAATTAAGAGGAAGGCAAACAAATCCCCTCACCTGGTTAAATCACTGGGTGTGGGGCAGAGCTGTTGATGTCTGCTCCAGGGTTCAGCTCTCCAGAGCACATGGCAGAAGAATTGGAAACAGGCAAGATCCCAAGCAACATTCTCACCCCTGTCTCTGCAGGACAAGACGGGCAC